ACAGTTTCAGGACCAAGCTGCTGAATAATTTGAAAATGACCTTAGTGAAAGAAATTGGCCCAAAATTGAAGTGGAAATCCAGAGTATGAGGAAGCATCTATTTCCTGTAAGATAAGTCATAAAGTAAGCAGGTCATCACAAGTTTATGCACTCTCTTGATGCTCATCTTTAATTCAGGGCAGCAGCTTTGTGGATTGGACAGGGGAAATATTTGCAACTGTAAACTTTATCACATGTCTGGAAATGCACATTGTACCTTACAGCGGTAGTGAGTGTGGGGAGAGGAAGGCTTCAGCCTCCCTTGTGTCCTGAGTACGTCTGTAGGCTAATGCAGTATGCAGTGTGTAAGACTTTCTGGAGGTAAGGTAGGGAGTATTCAGCAAGGTCAGTCCTCAGAAAGCGCTTGTAGCTTGAAAGGCAAATGTAAGTTGGGAAGGATAAAAATACTTTTGGGCATTTTACAACTTGATCACCTAAAAGCCCATAAGGTTATTAGGTAGCTCAGACATGTCTAATCTTATAAATATATGATCTCTAGACAGCGTGTGATCTTTCTTTTGTGGTACCCTCTCCTGATTTTCTTTTCCATGGACCGCTGTAGACTTAACAGCTGACATGAAGAGGGCAGAGGGGGAAGCTATTTTGCAATAATGTCTTAAAAGTATATGAGAGCAAAAAGAAAGTCTGTTATGTTTATTGCTAATTGAGCACAATTATTTTACTGCCTTTGTGGAAAATTTCCATCATCTGTGGTCTGTAGGCTGTCATTCTAGTTTTAGCTGCTGTACTGTTGCAAGTATGCTTGTCTCTCTGTGTTACAACAGTTCAGTACCTGTGTAATATACTATTGCTTTCTAGTAAGTTGTGTATATTCTCAGCTTCAGAAAAAAAAAGTTATAGGATAGAAAGGCTTTTCGGGTAGATTCACGTATGTGGGTACTTCTGCTCTACAGCAGTACAGGCAAGAGGAAGAAATAAATCTTGAGTTTGTGTCAGAAGGTGGTGATATGCATGATGGTCCTTACTGTCTTGTGGTATTGCCGCACTCCTCAGTCATTGTTTTAGCCTGATCATAGGGAGTTCCATAATGTGCACGAGTAACGCTGTTAATTATGATTGTGATGTGGATGCATGGCTGATTAATTCAGGGATTGTGAGTTTAAGCTGCAAGCTGTTGTGAAGGTATGGGATTAAGTCTCCAACCTTTGTTCAGGCGGTTGGGTGGTAAGGGGTGAGCTTCGTGTGTTTACGATGGTTGCTGTTGGGAAGGAGACGTGCTGTGCTTTTGTGGGGTGCAGAGCGGGTAGGCTAGTCCTTTTCTTCAGTTGTGTAAGTAAGAAAGCCAATAAATTGCAAGGATAGACAGTCTGTTTTGTTTGAAGAGTCTGACTTGTTTTGCTTGCTATCAGGCTCTACTTTTCTGTCCCTAGACTTCATTTTTTGGTTTAGTGTACCCTTTCCTTCCTGTTCTTTGGTAGGAGCTGAGATGCGTATCTTCCTGTTGTTGAGAGGTTTGTTAATTTTGTCTCTTCCCCATCCCCTCTTTCAGTGCAGGGCACGGAGACTCTGGCAGTTGTGCACATACAGGATGTCTCCCATTGACAACTGGATTGTTGGGAGCCTGTAGAGGGTTTCTGTTATCCGATGTGTGTGTGTGTGCAGTTGTAGCTACTGTCCTGAAAGCAAACTGGGAATAGTGTTAGGTAGGTAGGCAGTATGAGAAGGATGCACTTCCACGACATGGGAGGAAGCTGGAGATGAAGGTGAAGTGCTGCTCAAGGGGCAAGGAGGTGTTTTGGAGTGTAGGGGTCAATGGAGCATGGTGCTGTACCTCCTTTAAACCCGGTGCATAGGAAACCAGCCTTCACTGGTTTTGTTGCTTATGGAACAATTTAAGAGGAGTGCTCTCACCTGCTAAAGCATCGGTCTGGAGAGCAGTTTGTTGAACTTAACATTTCCGTTGTACATGTGGAACAGTGAGTAACTCAAGCATTTCTTTGTGCAGGATAGCATTTTAATTTTAGTTAAAGTATTTAAAGTCTCTCTGAAAAATGCAAATTACTCCCCTCTGATCTGCTCACATTCTGTTTTATGTGATTTGCAGTGTGCTCTGCATTACTTGCAGAAAGGAAGAAACCCTTTTCCAGGTAATTTGAGTAATGGGAAATAGGTCTCCATTAGTTGCATAGCTACTGGTGAGATGCTTAACATAGTTGTGGGATTAGTCTAAAACATGGATGAAATGTACTGGGCTGTGCATTTGTGATGTGATGAAGTCATCAGGCACTGGTCTAAGGATGCACCTCTACACTGTATCATGTGTCAGCTCTTGAAGCATCCCGCGGGACAGCTTTGGTTCTGCCTTTCTGCCAGCGGTATGCAGTTGGCTGTTTTGTGTGAGGTTCGTTTGCAGTTACTGATCACGGAGTGTGGGTTTGGGGATGTTCCTGCTGCTGAGCAAAACAAATGTTTTTGGGGTTTTATTATTCAAAACTGTTGGATATCACCGTGAGCTGTTCTTTGGTAAACCATTCATCTGTGATAAACTTTCTTTAAATCCATGCCAGATTTTACAATCAATAAACTGTACTTATGTGAAAAACTGAGTTAATGTTCACTTGAGGTAGAAAACGTGTCTGTGAGAATATATGCACATATGTTCACACAGAAAAGCTGTTAGAAAAATTATGTGAACTATGAAGATTTGTAATGGTCACCTGAAACCCATGGATTTAAAGTCAAGGTTATGTTTTCAAGGCAAAGACTGACATTTCCTTTAGTTATCATTTTTAATTTTCAGTCACAGTGTTCACAAATGTAAGATTTTTTTTTTTTTTTTTTTTGCATCGGCCTCAGCCAAGGTACCTGAAGTGAGGTGTAGCTGGTTGTCTTGGGAGTAATGAGAGGGGTGTAGGGGAAAGAACTCATCCTTCCTCCAGGTGATGGAGCCTTGAGGTGAGAGGTGGCTGGTGAGCTTGGAGGCACCTCAAAGCTTCCACGTCCTCCACTGCATTGCCATTGTAGGGCATGGGTGGTTCTGCTGTGGGAGAAAAGATTTCTCTTTACTCTGCTGATGTGTAAATTGCTTAATGCCTGTCATTGTTATTTCAGTCAGCAGTTGTTATTGCTGAAGCTGCCAAATATCTGTTTGGTTTGTGACTTCTGGTAGAGTTGGTCATAGTAATGTTGAGCCTGTTGTTTCCCGTTTGGCGTGCCGCACAGAGCGGGTGCTTGGGACTGGAAATTTAGGATCTGGTTACTTTGGTGTTTTAACCATTTCTGGGAACTTTCTTCTTCTACAAACCAAATGTCCAGTCTGAATTCCTTAGATGAGATCTTTCTTCAGTCTAAAGCCTGCAGGGAAGTGACATTTAAGAGGAAATGACTCTTGCAGTCAGGAAGAAAGTTTTGGAGTCACTGAGATGCGTGTTAGTGTGTGTGAAGATAGCTGATGATCAGTCTGAGAGGTCTGGAGCACAGAATGCACAAAAATATAAAAAATTTGGTGTAGTATTTCTATGCTTTATTATCCCCAGTTACGCTATGTATGGTTGAATAACCCAAGATGCGCACTGTTTTGAGTATTGGCATTGCAACCTCGTCACTCATCACTTCAACCAAGACCGTGTTGCGACTTCATTGTCAAGGTGTCTTTGCAACTCATATGACACGTTTTTATTTGGAAAGGCAAGACCTTGGGAAATTTCCACTCTTGGGATTGTAACCCCTGGGATTCTTGACTTGTGACCGCTTTCCTAAAGCAGCTCAGCCCTGTTGAAGGGACGTGAGGGTGCTTGTGCTGTTTGCAGTTACTGAGGGCTGCAGGTCCTGCTGGGTCATTTGCCCAGCGCTCGCTGCTGTGCTCTTGTGTCTCACATAGCAAGTAGCTTGGCCTGTTAACTCCAGGGAGACCTGTGGATAACGTGAGCTGTAAGCAGTAGTCTGGAAAAAATCGGTGTGTGGAGCTTGAGTAGCATTACACGGGGATTCAGAAGGGCTGCTGTAGGGACGTGATGGGTGAATGCCCTGGTGTCTCCCTGGCCACCCTGGAGATAAGAGGGGAATCGTTAACCCTCATGGTGCAGCTTTTGAGGAGCAGAGGCCCTGAGGGGTGTCTTCCTTCCTCTGAGCTGGGGAGGAGGTAACTATTTCAGGGAGATTGAGGCTACCAGCTTCAGTAGTTGTCCCTATTTACAAAAGGCTAGCACCACTAAACACCCATTCAGTGGCGGAGCATCATGCTAATGTGTTCACTGCAGATAACCTGAGTCGTGCCCAGGGGCTATGGGTGTTTTGCTCCAAACACAAATGGGCTGGGAAATCTGGAGGGAAATTGTCTTAAATTTAGTAGATAGTCTTGGAAAGAATCGTTGTTAGAGCTGGGCATAAGAGAAATCTGTAACATGCAAGGTCAGCACCCGAGAGCGGGTGGCTGCCTGCGGTGGGGAGGTGAATTCAGCCTTCTTTTTGCCTCACTTAAGGTTTAGGATTTGGCTTCTGGAGTATTGGGAGATAAAAGCCAAGTCCATTCAAGACTCTTGAGCTTCGGTTTCCTTACCTGTAAAAAGGAGTATTTAAGCTTGGAGCTCAGTAATTACCAAATTATTGATATGGCACTTCTTGATTTTTTTTTTTGAAGGCGCTACCTTGGGTAAAGAACTTTTTTCTCCTGTAACTTAAGCTGTTTATCCTGCTTGGAAATATGAGTATTACTGACCTGTTTGGCTTACTATATGGAGTTTTCTTGAGGGTATTCTAGGATGATATAGGTGTAAAAGACCAGGAAGTAGAGGAAAAGATGAGAGAAAGAAAGAATGAAACTATTTGTATTCTAAGTAAATGGGCAGTACGTGGAAGCTGAGCTGGAAGGGAAGAGGAAAGAGGAGATTGCATAGCACTGGTGAGAAGTGGCTGGATTTTGATGAGAAAGAAGAGGAAGCAAGTAAAGAAAACAATGTGATCAAAGTGGAAATAATCTGATCAGAGAGCGAAGGAAGATCATGTGCTTTGCTTTCCAGGCTGACAGTAGAGCTCCATTCCCCCCCGCCCCCGAAAGTGAGTTTCTGGCCTTCAGATCGCACTAATATATGTTCCTTATACTGGCATGGATTTTGTATTTCCTTGCTTAAAACCCTGGATTTAGTAGGAACATTTGAAATACTGCTTGTGCCAAGAAATGAATTTGGTATGGTGTCTTTAACAGGTATACATGTGAGGTTTTGATTCGATTTTTAGCAGTTCATCTTTTAAAGTCTTTTTTTCTTTTTGTCAGATTATGTCTACTTTGAAAATTCTTCAAGTAACCCATATTTGATACGAAGAATAGAAGAGCTCAATAAGGTAAACAAATTTTTCCATCAAGTCTTGGAAGTTAATTGAATTCATGATCTGTTTGATTTGATTAAAATCAAAACAATTCTTTAGCAGTTCTCTGGTAATTAGAAGCTTAAAAATACTTTTGTTCAGATACTTCTCTGGAATGCTTTGAGACCTGCTAGATTGTTCTCCCTTGGTATGAAAGGACTGAGCATCGATGGTAGGTCATTCTCAAGGTGATTATGCCCACCTGTAGGGCAGGAGATTTCTGCAGTTCTTCAATTCCGTGCCAGGATCATGCGATACGAAGATAATAGAACAGTTTGCCTAGAGGATGGAGAGCTTTGTAATTTGATCTTTCTTGGGGGAGACTCCTGCTCAACAGGAAGGTTTGGAGCTGTTATCTGCTTCCTCAGACTTTGTCTTTGCTGGTTGTCCTTTGGCCAGTGTATTATTTCATCTGCCAAATTTCCCTTTCATTGGATCTAAAAGGGAAGCATGATAGCTTGTATGTGGGGAGCCAGATGAAGTCCTCTATGCTGAAATTTTGCCTAGTTAAGGAGGGAATACTGTTCTGAAGCCATTAGCTGTGTCCTTAACGTGTCACTTTCTCAGGTTTAATAGCAGCGTGTCCATTTCAGCCCATACAGGAGGAACGTAATATTGCTGTTTTGGATTTGAATTTAAACTAACTGACTAAAATTAGGTCTTTTTCATCAGTGATGGAAAAACATGTCTTTCTAAAACAGTTACTTGGAAGAGAAAATTTATCAATATAATGACAAATAAAGAATCTGAAGGCTAGGACATCCTTGTACCCCCTTCTTTTTAGTGGTGGTCTTTTGCAGAAATACTTTGTCTCTCTTCCATTAAGGAAATGAGTGAGTTCCTAAAATATTCCCAGTGGGTCCATAGCCATGAGGTATCAATAGCTGTATTCCATCAGTTACAGGGTGCAGATTTGTTGATCACTTTCTAGGAGAGTATTGTTTTCCCCTCTTCTTTCCCTCTTCATTCTCCCCCCCCGAAAAAAGAACTTGCAGCCTGGATCTCTCATCTTAGTGCAACTCTTGCTTGAGCTGTCATTTCTGTGACCTACTCTTTGAAATGGGTCTTTCAGGTTGAAATGAATCATATATCTTGCGTTGCCTTTTTTCACTGAGTGTAAATGAAGCCTGGGCAATTAAATGAAATAGATAATTCTACATTGTAGCTGTCTGTGTTTTAACAAGATGGCTTCTGCCTTTGTATTTTAGTTCCTCAAAATTTAAAAGTTCTGAATTATTTAACAGAAAAGAGTAGAAATTCTGCAGGCTCTGTACCAAAAACTGATAGGCTGCAAGGGGAAATGTTTGTACATGTATGTATTGTCTGATTTTTTTTTTTCTTTGTGTTAGGAAAACTGGTATTATAAAAGATGAAACTTTTCCTCCATTCACATCTTAGCAACAAGCATGTATATCAGTTTTTATTTTGTTTCCTTGTGGAGAGATTGCTGGTCCACTACCTTTTTGCAGACTTCTTGGAGAGAAATTTGTATCTTATTCTTCTAGTTTCTTCAACTGTGTGCCATCATTATGGTTTTCAAGGACTCTTCAGTGGTAGGATACAACTCTTTTCAGTTACATTTTCATTATTTGTTGATTTATTTTAAAGACAGTAGATTGGCTGGAGCTGTTACAAACCAGTAGGTGTATTTCCCCTAGAGTTTGTATAAAGCCAGTTTCACAATTTGGCAGATACCATCTTACAAGAGATTCATCACCTATCTCATTTTAAGAGTTTTAAGAAAAAAATCCCAAACCCTTCAAAAATTCAGACTTTTTTGTATGTTGTCACTGGTGTAGAGTTTATTGCCTGGTGCACCTTCCTTGGTTCTCGTTTTGGAATGATTTTTTTGTGTTAGTCATTGTTTAGCTCACCAGTGCTGTCAGAGAAGTCCTTGCGATTTCTTTTGTGAAAGTAATAATGACTGGGTTCTTTCTTGCTTTCTTACTGTCCTACAGAGTTTGGAGAACAGCTTAAACCTGAATTCTGTTGTTATATTTCACAGTTATTTTTATTAGGATTTTAAAGATGCTTTTGAATTCTACTAAATGTAGGCATCACCTGAAAAGTAGCAAAGTGGCTTGTTAATATGTTGTAACTGCAGGTAAGTGTTTTTTCTCACTCCTTGAAACATCTGTAGCTGCTAAAAGGAGGGATGGGCCAAACTCTGTTTCCCTACCCTGGAAGGCATCACACCAGAGCTTGTGTGTTAGATAACGTGTGCAGCTGGAGGATGCTAAAAGGTGATGCTATGTAGCTCTTGTGCAAAATTCCAAATTACTTACGAAGTTTTCTAGTTCGGTGCGTACAGTTCAGTTCTTGATTTGTGCTCTTTTTTTTTCTTTTTTCCTGTTTCAGACTGCCAATGGAAATGTGGAAGCAAAGGTGGTATGTTTCTACAGAAGAAGAGACATATCAAGTACACTTATTGTATTGGCAGACAAACATGCAAGTAAGCTTGTTTGTGTTCAGATTGCTTCTACACAAAATTGCCAAACTTGGATAGAACTTTGATATTACAGTTACAAGTATCAATATTATTATTTTGAAATGTCCCTGTACATTGTCCTTCAGCAAATTGCATTATGTGTTTGTCTGACTTCTCTCCCTCTCCCTCTTCCCCCCCCCCCAACTTTTAAAACCTCACTTGGTGTATGGTTTGATTGTCATGGTAGGGACAGGATGGAAGTGTTCAGTTAGGGCTGAATAAAGGCATCTTATTTGCTTCATAGAAGTGAATTCCTTAATTTTTGGGATGAGGGGAAAGTATTTTCCCCATCTTATGCATTACTTCTCATGAATGATTTGGTTTGGTTACCAGATGAAAAAAACCCTCAAACTTTCTTTATGAGTAAATCAAATAGTCTGATCATAGGAAACCGACTTGAAACATGACCAACTTGAAACTTGGCTAACAGGAATTCTCTTTACATTTCAATATTAGTAATACTTTTTGTACTGACATAGCTTTTGTCTGAACATGCTCAGTAAATACATTTTAAAAGCACTGAATTTTAGGACATCCTATTGCTATTTTGAATACTTCAAGTCCTTTTATTAGGAAAAAATAATGTGTAGGCTGAGAGGAGACTTGAAAACTAGAACTTTTTTTTTCTGAATACCGTACCTTCTGATTTAAAAAAAATAAACATGAAGCTAAACTATCACAAAATTTAGGGGGTTGTTTGTGCTACCTTACTTTGTCCTCCTTTGCATGTATGCGTTGCATAACTCATTTCTTGATTTTTATTATTTTACAGAATGTTGTGTTAACTTACGTTGGCATGTACTCCTTTGCCAAGGAGGTCGGAGGCATGTGAGATACCTAGCTGAGTAGAGATGGAAGCTTACTTCTAAACAAAAATTTAGTGCTACAATTCTCTTTCAATTATAGAAACAGTTTTAAAATTGTAAAAAGTGCATACAAAAAATAGTTATGTGTCAGTATATATTAGATGTTTGCCTATATAAATCTGTAAGGCAAGATACTGCAAAAAAATTCAGATAGTTTTAAAAAAAAAAACCACCACACAAAATAGCTGAGAAGCTGCTGTGGATCTGTGCATTCTAAACTCAGAAGGGGCTGAGCATGGTGCACTAGCTGGCTCTCAAGGGGAGTATCCATCTCCAGGGGAGAAATAGTGCAACATATTACATGTCGCTGGGTACTTTATCTGGGGTGCTTCCAGCCTGTTTGACTCCATTCTAGTTGCCAGTGAAGATTAGATTTAGGTTCGTTACACCTTCCTCTGCCAGTTCAGCATCCCTCTCATCCCATCCTTGCGAGGTGATGAACACGGTACTGTACAAAACAGACATGTTGAAAGGAAGAAAAAGAATAAGCAGATGGAGTTAGTAAACTGTTTTTACTTATAAACAATGGAGTATGTGAGTTGTAGCTGTTCAGATTGCTTAAAATTTAGTGAAAAGCATGGACAGCCGTATCAGTCCTTGTATGTGCCTACAGGAAAGCCTTGAACTACATAAATGAAAAAGAAGCAATCAGATCTGGGCATGTCAAAATTATGATTTAGCTGCCAAGCATCATTGTCTTTTAATGTGGTTCTTGGTGTATATATGAACAGACTGCGATGTATATGTAACACAGATCTACATAGTTGTGCTACATGGGGATTGATTAAATCAGATATTCAGTTTTAACAATGAATATAATGTCTGGCTGTGTTCTCAGTGCTGTAGTGCCATTGGGGAAAACTTGCAGCAAAACGAGGCCTTTATTGATAAATTTGAATATTTTCTATTGTAGATTCAAGTCCAAATAAGTCCCTCTATTGCAACCATACCTTGGAAAAAAAGTCATGTGGCATTGAGATGAGATTTGGCTGTGTTGCAGAATTGTGGTAGCAGGCAAAGCTTTTTTGATATCTCTTCAGTGCAGCAGTACTCATTTTATCTGAGAATACTGAAACTTAATAGGAGCTTCACCATAAACAACATGACTATTGATTCCATCATCTGTGTCTCACTTCGCTAGATTTAGTAAAGGAAGCAGGTAGGAATGATTCAAAGAAACGCGTGTCTGAGACTGAAAATTAAAAAATATTTGAACCCATATACGTGCTTTTTGAACCTGCAAAGGCTGATTTCTTTTTGTGATAAGAAATTTAAGATTTTTTAAATGCAAACAAATAATTTATTGTTCATATGAATATGTGTTTGAAAGACAGGAAAATTCTTCTATAGCACAATCCTATTAACAGAGCCACCAGAGACAACTGAGGCTGTGTCTTAGTGTAAATTTCATTAGTAACTAACATTTTTTCCAGTATGTTTCTTTCTGGTACAGAGTAAAATTGCTGCTAAATGACTTCCGTTTATTTAGATATATGTGCTGTTGTGTGGCTTCCTTTCTTCTTATGGAGGGAGAAGAGAGTAAAATTAAGCTTTTGGACAGCCGTTAGTTCTTTACTCTGGAAAAAAAATACCTACATCCTGCATGATATACTGAAATTAAATTTTGTGGATGTTAAGATTCTAGTACAGATGCTCAACACTGTCACTGACTTTGAGTTCATTTCCATAAAGTCTCCTGTTGCCTCATTTTGATGCATTTGCAGTAGATGTACGTATCTGCATCGCTGATCTTTTAACTGCCTTTGTTCAGCTGATTAATGGAGCTTTCTGGCTGCAGACATTTCTGGATTCACAGTCTTCTGTTTAAGATGCCTTTATTTTAGACCTACTGTTGAGATCAATGCAGTGAGAGAACCAAATAATGGGAAGATATGGCCAGAACATGAATGGAAAAAGTATATGTATATTTTGTAATATTTTTTCTTGTCCAATAAAGGAAGGAAAAAATGTGATTGTGAAGTGAATGTTGCAAAGTTTAAAAAAAAAAAAGCGCACTTACTCTTTAGCTTGTATAATCCATCAGATATCTGAAACAGACAAGTCTGAGGTAGGTTGTCTTTTCTCTTAACTCTTTATAAAGAGAAATGAGTTGGAAGCACCTTATTCTGTAGTTGGTGACTGTAAATTAGTACCTGATGTATGCAACCTGATTCTTGGATTTCATCTGTGATCTTACTATTTTTATCATATGATATAAAGCTTGTCTGGGTTGTCCTATAAATCTTTCAGCCTTATAATGGCTTCCATACATTGTTAACACTTTTTATTCATAAGCCTCTTTAATCACCTCACAAATTATTCTAGGGAATTTCTCCACCTGTTTCTGAAATGAACCTGCTTCACCAGTAGGAGACTATTTAATGTTCTTGCCCAGAGACTTTGTAGTGGTTTAACGTAGAATATTGTGTGCAAACAAGATTTCAGGCAGAGCTTGGTGGAAGAGAAGTGAGAATGATAATTTACTCCTCAAGCTACAATTGGATGCTTTGACTATATATTTTTTTCCCTATATAGTTTCTATATAATGTCTTATATACTTTCTTACATAATTAAGTAATTGTTTCCAACAGCAGTAATACGATCTCCTGTCCCCCCTTCAAACCACCCACCCCCAGCCGCCTCCAGTTACTTGTGATCTGTTTGATGACCACAGTTTTTGCTTCATTAAAAACATTTATCCTGATTTGTAAAACAATGAGGTGACTAGTTTTGGTAGTGGTTGGAGAACTGAGTAGTTAGTGCCAGCTGGTTTGGCAGGTTTGTGGTTGGCTTTCAGCAGATGATGTTTGGGTGCCAGGCACACATGGCAGCAAGACTGCAAGACTTCTAAAAATAAATGTCTTGCAGTCGTGAGGTGTCATTACTCAATCAGTCCATGAGTTGCATGAGACCTGTGTGCCTGAACAGGTAGGGGATCTATTAAATTTGGTTTTTTTTTTTTAAATTTTAGATAACATCACTCTAAATGCAGTTTGACAATAGCTTCACAAATGAGGTGGTGTGGTTTTTTTTTTTTATTTCTTCCATTTTATTCCCCTTCTCCTCCATTTTTCTCCCAACACCACACATGCTGATTTAAGAGGAGTCGAGTTCGTTAATCCACTAATGACACTTTTGGCTCTGTTGTTATTGAGAGGGGGGAACTGTGATTTTTCTCTTCTGGGGGTGGTGCAGTGAGGAAAGATAAGCTAAGTGTCCAAAATAGTGTCTGTTTGCTCTGTATGCTACCTGTAATAGTGGCTATGGCTGCAAAAGATGATCACAAGAAGTTTTGGAAGGGATCATAGTGAGATGTCTTGATAATGTGGCAAACTCCTCCTGAAGTGTCAAGGTTTAAGGCTTTCTTTTTGTTAAAACTTTCACTGTATTTTCTATAGCTATGAATCAATATCTGTTTTTTGGTAGAGAGAAAATGAATGAGGCTGAGGCTTAATATAGACCATTTGAAACTGGACCTGGGAGAAGGAATGTGGTGTTGTATTGTTCTTTTCTTCAAATGCAACACTTCTGTAATGCCCTCCCAAGCTGCTTAGTTGAGCTGTTAAAGCACCAGGAGTTTAAGCTTCCTTCGCTACTGAAGGAACTGTTGTACAGGTCAATAGCACTGGCTTTACTGTGTTTCCCAATGTTTTGACCCCTTTTTTTTCCTTTTTTCTTTACATTTTGTTGTTAGTGATACCATGCTAACTAATAAGTAATAACATTTGACATGCCAGAGGGATGGGATGCCATCCAGAGGGACCTGGACAAGCTCGAGAAGTGGGCCCGTGTGAACCTCATGAGGTTCAACAGGGCCACGTGCAAGGTCCTGCATCTGGGTCGGGGCAACCTGGGGGTACTGGTGGGTGAAAAGCTGGACATGAGCCGGCAATGTGCGCTCGCAGCCCAGAAGGCCAATCATATCCTGGGCTGCATCCAAAGAAGCGTGGCCAGCAGGTCAAGGGAGGTGATTCTGCCCCTCTACTCTGCTCTGGTGAGACCCCACCTGGAGTACTGCATCCAGCTCTGGAGCCCTCAGCATAAGAAAGTACACGGACCTGTTGGAGCAGGTCCAGAAGAGGGCCACAAAAATGATCAGGGGGATGGAACACCTCTCCTATGAAGAAAGGCTGAGAGAGTTGGGGTTGTTCAGCCTGGAGAAGAGAAGGCTTTGGGGAGACCTTATTGTAGCCTTTCGATACTTCAAGGGGGCTTATAAAAAAGATGGGGACAAACCTTTTAGCAGGGCCTGTTGTGATAGGACAAGGGGTAATGGTTTTAAACTAGAAGAGGGTAGATTGAGACTAGATATAAGGAAGAAATTTTTTACGCTGAGGGTGGTGAAACGCTGGCACAGGTTGCCCAGAGAGGTGGTGGATGCCCCATCCCTGGAAACATTCAAGGTGAGGTTGGACGGGGCTCTGAGCAACCTGATCTAGTTGAAGATGTCCCTGCTTATTGCAGGTGGGGTTGGACTGGATGACCTTTAAAGGTGCCTTCCAACCCCAACTATTCTGTGATTCTACGATTCTGATTCTTCTGTTACTACAGACTGTCTCCCAAGCTGGACATCCTAGTGTGCTCTCTAGCCTAATTTTGGTATCTTGTTTGCCTTTGTGCATTTCCAAATTCTGCTATGTAGCTACTTGTACGACACTCAGAATGCAAAGAAAGAGCTGGTGCTTTCTACCTCTGATGTTGTAGAGAGCCCAATCTGATCTATAGCAAATTGCTATTCTTTCTAGTGTCTAGCAAATATTGGTGTTTAATTTTGCATCTCACACACCCGGTCATTGTAAATTACAATTACTGCCTCTTGGGTTTCTCCTGCCAACTCAAAGTTTACTCTTTCTAATTATTTTTCCCCATATATGTTAGCTTTCACATGAGTCTTGCTGTTTGGGTCCAATCTGCCTGTCTCTTGTTCCCAATATAAGTCGTCTTCAAGCTTTGTTAATGTGCTATTAATGATTCTGTCATCAAATATCAAATAATACTTAATCTAATACACTCCTTGCAGCATTCCACTGGCTACTTCTGCATAGGTAATATATTACTGTTTGTATTAAGACTAAATGTTTAGTTTTAAATCTGCATGAGCACATCTATCAAGCAGAGAGATTAATTTTGAGGTAAGGCTTTATGAGAGCATTGAAGTCCCAATATACTGCACCTACTGTATTCCCATACCACTTATTCAGCAGTACTGTCATAAACGCAGGCAAGTCTTTCTGAAAAGATTTTTATTTTTATATATATCTAAAAACATATGAGGTTTTTTGTTTGTTTTTTTTTAAAGACTGTGGTCCTTATTTCTCAGGGATTGCCATTCTCAAGGATGAAGTCTGCTTCACTTAGAGCTTGAGTGCTTGAACTGTAGGAGGGTGAAATGCAGATGTGTCAGACCGGCTTGTCCTGGAACCTGAGGCTGGGCCAGCCCCTGTTGTCATTTACAGTCTGACTTAAGCCTTTGCTGTCTGCGCAGAGGCGGTGAGGTGGTATTAGTTACGGTTTTTGTCAAAGCCACTTTTGCATGACTTCAGGGAGAGAGACAGAGAGGTTCCTGTGCTGGATCCAGCCCTGTATTCTCTCCTCCTTCCCTTGGTTCCGAATGCATTTGCCAGGTTCATTCTTTTCAGTACTAAATCATGGCTGTGGAAAAGGAGGGAAGATGCTTGTGTGGATTTTTGTTTGTTATTTCTTGGAATATTCCTACCTCTGTCTTCAGGAACTATGACAACTTTACGTCTGTGTGTGGGGGGAATTGTTTGTTACCTGTAGAAATACCTGTCTTTTTTTAAAAAAAAATTACGCCTTTTTATTTTGAAAGGCTGTGCATAGCAGAGCTGGCATAAGAAGAAAATATGTGCTTCCCACCTTCCTTATTTTATTACAAAAGCTAGACATATAAATAAAACACCAGTTGGAAAATGTGCCTAGCTGAAGGGATGCGGTTCCCAAGATTAGCTTGGTTGTGCTGGGTGGTTTTGTTTCGTTTGTAGATTTGATTGGCACATAGTGGTTAATATATTTTTTAAAAAGAAGTAGTTTTTAAAAGCTCTAGGCTATTAAATATAGTGAAAATATTAAGTATTTTAGGTTGCTCCTTATAGTATTTTTCCTGCATTACACAGTGCACTACTCTTATTCTCCAAAAACTGTTGTAAGTGCAGGCACAAATGCCTTTTCATTTGAGCATCCTTCAGTTTTTAGGCAGGTTAGCTTGGAACTTGCTGACTTGTTTGTGGATTGCTGCTGGTACATTTATAGTGTAGGTCAGCAGCCACAATATTAATTTTCAACTGAAACAGAATCCATTTCAGTAAATAAATTGCAGAACCACGAAACTGTGGCACAAATGTAAATTTGGTGTTCTAGTTCCTATGAAAATATTGAAATGTAAGTGCATGCTGCTGTATGCTTAACAGCTCATGTGGTGTAAGAGCTATTGTATGTTGCAGTCTGGTTTTATTATGCTACTATTTTTTTTCCTGCCTTGCTGGAGCAGCTTACCTGAGGGACATATAAACCACAAGTCTTTTTCCAGGACAGTAAAACAGTGATAAAATGTGGGGAACCTGAAGGGTACATAACTTTTTTGTCACCCCCTTTGGCATAATGGTGGCCTATTTAAAACTAAATGCAATTCTAGTGTTTTATAAAATGGAGATCTCTCCTTTCTGTTTGCTTTCTTTTGAGATAATTATGAGGATTACAGTTAACTAATCTTAAGGGTCTATCAATCATAACTATGCCTGTATGTGTTTCTGACTAGAAATGTTTCTTGGCAACAACTGTTGAATTAAGCTGCAGGCATAAGTCTGCTCTTTAAAAGAGTACTGCTGCCATAAAATTAGAGTTTTACTATTCATGTATGAGACTTTACAGCTCATTCTCCTACAGTCTGGGAACCTTTTCCCGTGGTTTTGGAAAAAGCAGTAACTGCCTTAATTTCATAGGGAAGGAAAAAGTCTGAGGTTTCCTTTCGCAGTCCTTCATCATGGAGAAGTGTTGCAGCTTTTTTGGAGTATTTTGCCTTCTACAGCTTTATCTTGCATAATTGACAGGATGCTTGCTAATAAACACAAAACATACTAATAATTTATTTCTTACAGGAAAGGTGCCTAGAGATGTTCTGGGTCCGTTGTGTATCGGTGTGGATGTGGTTTCATATATTGACTTTGGCATTCATTTAAAAACTGGTTGGATGGAGACTGGATAGCTCAAAACCAGAGATGGTGGATCCTGACTGCAGAATAAAGCAAGCTTTTGAAATGCAGGAGTTTTGCAGTCAAATGTGTGTGGTGTGGTAGGGTGGGGGGGTTGCAAGACTGGCCTTAGGCACTTGGTTACATTCCAGTTAATCTTGTGGCTGTGATCTATTGGCTGTGGTTGGGGTAAAGAGAATAAAATACACTAAAGAAATAAACTAACCTTTTCAGTGGGCATTTCCTGCAACAGCTGTTGAAGTTGGGATGAGACAGTCTGTGATATCCTGAAAGAGGAGTAGGGTCTAAGAGGCCTGGCAAAGAGGAAAGACTTCGCTTTTACTGCCTCACTCATCATGCGTCAGCTTCTTCCTGATGAATCTAACGGTGCAGTGATGGTCTCCAAGAGCAGCTCTCTTCAGAGCTTGTCTGTTGGTAGCAGATTTGTGTGACTTTCAGCTTGGTGAGCCAGTGTGACCTATGCGTACCTGGAATGCTTTGATCCCAGTGGTGAATAAATACAATTCTTCACAAGCATCATTTAAAGGATCTATACTAATCATCTAATTGTTCAGTTGGCTGAAATGTGAGGATTCTGATGAAGTTAGATTTAATCTAAATAATGTGTATTATTTAGCAAAGGTTTTGGAGCAGCTCATCCTTATTGGCTCAGAATCAATACTTGCACTGTTCTTGATGATCAATTTTGTCTCTTTATAACTAGGAGAAATGGAAGAAGAGATGGAAAATCCAGAAATGGTTGATTTACCAGAGAAACAGAAGCATCAGCTACGACATCGTGAGTTGTTTCTCTCACGACAGCTGGAATCTCTGCCAGCCACACACATTAGGTAATGATTATTTTCTTCCAGTGCTTTTTATTCAGAAACCAAATGGCATTATTATTATTCAAGTATTGTTCAATGTAAGGTTAAATTCTGTGTACAACTTCAGTAATACTATCTTGTGAATCACATGAGCATTTAAGATGTTTTTTCTCAAAATGTGTTTCTCTTTTTTTAGAGGCAAATGCAGCGTTACTCTGTTAAATGAGACAGAATCCCTTAAATCATATCTGGAACGGGAGGTACGAACCATTTTGTGAATTGTCAAGCTTGAACAGTTTATCCTGGCACAAGTTAGGATTGGTGGCTTTTCACAGGTTTTCTAAAACGAAGGTGGTTCTTTCATTTCTACATGTACTGTACAGGCACTGGCAGTGGGAAGCTTTAGGCTCCATACAATCCTCATTCTGAGATAAAACTTTGTGGATCTAGGGGCCAGAGCTGCTGTTTACATCCTTGTGACAGTAAGCTGCCTCTCCTTCTGTAAAGAGAGCCCTACTTGCTCATCAGCCCGGCAGTCTGAAAGTTCAAACCTTGGAGGCTCATGCCTCAGACAAGGCAGGGTGGGAGGTGGAGTAAATGTGAAGAGTGAGCGAGCCAGCAAGCTGTATTTCTATATATTTTGCTTTATCCTGAAATCTTACAGATTTATGTTTGTATGGTTTAAACTTGATCTTGCCTCAGATTTCTGAGAAGCTTAGTTCCTTGTTTTTTGAGTTCACTGTTCACTGTTGTTTACCTGTAGTCTTCATATGCCACCACAGACACTTAGGTCCTTGAAAAACTACTTGTCAGTTAACTTCTGAGTCCTGCAGAAATTTTCACAATCTGGCTATTTAAAGGTACCTCAAACTGAACACTTGAAACGGAATTGTGTTGCACTGTTAATCACTATTCAGAATATAAATCTTGGGTTTTACTTTTTCAGGTATTTTGGGATTTTAAAAATTACAATTGTAATTCTTTTAAATGTATTTATATACTTTTAATTGTGGGTAGACCTCTGGCTGTCAGCTGGGTTAGACAGTCTTGGAATTCGACAATCTGGGAGCTTTACTTTGGGACGTTAGCAAACAATTTCAGTATATTATTATTTGAATACATCTGCAAGCATTACATTTGCATTTGAAAACTTTACAAGATTTCCTCTCTTGTATAACGTTTTAATTAAAAACAGTAGGGTAACGGTCATTACCAGCCTGTAAAAAACATGGAGAAAACAGGTCATTTTTTGCAAGGAGCATACTGTAGTCTGTCTCATAGTTGGGTTTTCTTTTTAAATGCTTTTTTAGCTTTCTTTAGTATTTATTTAAGCATAAGATTAACTTTAATCTGATACTCCAGTTTAAGAGAATTTTAAACAAAGCACAGGGATTAAATAGTCGGGTTTCTCTTTGGAATGTGAAACCAAAAACATGTCGAGTCTTCTCAGGGCTGCCAAATGGCAGCGCATCAAACAAGGGCCGTTGTATTCAGAAATGCTTGTTACCAGCTAGCAGCCTAGGATATGCCAATTTGAAAGCAAAAGTTAATCAAAACTGAAATTAATTTAGATTTACTAGTACCCAACTTTTAAGTAGTATTCGTTCTCGATCGCTCCCAACACATTTTTATTATCACTAATGGTACAGGTAGGTACATTGAGACAGAGAAGGGAACTGGCTTTCTCTGATCGTGCAACAGCTCAGTTGCAGATGTAGGAATAGAAAGAGATTTCTCTTTTTCATCCTTTTGAACTCTCAAAAATGCAAGATGGGTGATGCGGGTTATTTTTAAAACTGAGCAGGCACTTACAGATTTCACAGAATGAGAGAGTTCCCTGAATGTGTCCTGTCACTTAGCACAGTATTTTGCTGTGGTGCAAACTAACTTGGACAGATGGTAAAGAAATTAAAAGCTCAGGAACACAAATGTGCTTGGGTGGAAGGTAAAGAGATTGAGAAAAGGCGATAGTTGTTGCCTGGTGAATTCATAGCACTGGATGGTACTGTTTTGAACTGTTTCTTCTGCCCCCCCCCCCCCCCCCCCCCCCCCCCCCCCTCAGGAATCTGTCATATGCCAATAAACTCTCTGATAGATCACACCAGATTGAAAAGAGCATTGCAGCATTTGAGGAAGGGCAGGTCCTAAGGAACAAATTTTGGAAGTGACTGTTGTCTTCAGTTGAGAACAGGAGCAGATGTTGGTGTCTTGGCTACATATAGTTCAATGCATTGCAATGAATTCCTTCATCATGCTGAGGGATCTGATTAAATGCATAGAGCTAGTGGCAGGACAGAAGTGTTTGCAGCAACATGGGAAATGAGAGACTTCCCCTGCTGTCATTTTGGTGTAAACTGGCAGATTCCCAATGAAATCAGTAACCCCCAATAATTCATATAATAGGATCTAGCCTACACTGGATCTATGCACAGAGGGTGGTATGCCTCCTAGAGATTATGTAGTTCCTCTTTGCAGAAACAGAGTTTTTAATTGCTTTAATTAGTCTGGACAGTAGATATTTGATTCTACTAGTATGTCTGGTGCTAATGAAATCTGTGGTAGGGAATAGTTATTTATAAGCAGTCTATTTTTAACAGTGCTGCTGTAACAATAATTTAAATGCTCTGAGCCCTATGTACAGAGCATAGACCCCAATCTGTTCTTTGCTTTCAGAATTTTTTGGTTTTTTTTTTTTTTTTTTTTTACATGGCTTCTGTCAATAAAGCCTAAACAGTTCTAGGGAATCTGTCATTTGATTTCATGTATCTTATGACCACTAAAAGTAGGTTTTCAGCCCAGGGCTGTCTGCCTTGAAAGGAGGTTAAACATGCAGACAGAAAATTTTAGGGAGATAATAAGCATAGCAAAATTACATTTGTGTTATCTGTTTTCCTCCTTCCACCCTCTCTCTGTCATCTTCCTCAGGAAGATTGCTCTGTTACATTTAGAGAGGGAGCTGAAGGGGGACTAGCAGTGACTTTTTTTACTGTGCCTGGCAAAATTGGTTTTGTAGCAGGAGCGAGGAATAGAGGAAAAAGACAAAAGGCAACTGGAAAGCCTGAATTTCCTGTAGATACTGCATTCCCAGGGAGTTCAAGAGAAGGACATAGCCAGTTACGGCAAAAGCATTAGATTTCCCTATTCTGCAGGAAACTATTTTATATGTACCATCTATTTTACTGCTCTGCTAGGATATATCCAGAGGCTTGGGTGAATTTTGCCTGCTGGGTGGATGTCTGGCATTTTGGTACCTTTTGCTACCCTCCCCCAAAGTAAAATCCTGTATAGTTAAAATATATTCCCTGCCTTCACCCAAACTGACTTCACGAAAGTAAGTTTGCAAGCTGTAATGAACTAACCACTATTTCTGTACTGTACCTTCACTTTGAGCCTGTTTTTCTTTTTCCAGTTCTTCTGCAGTTTCTTAGTGGCTCTGGTTCTTGGCTATAGCTACGGGTAGCTTAGGGGCTTGGGTAGGGAAGCTCTGAGCATATGTGTCTGTATAACACTTCGGAGAATTAGAAAGTCATGGTTTAATTTTAACTCTTGGCAGGTCATTTTAATTTTTCTAAACATGTTGGGTGTTTTCTGGGATCTGAAATTAAAAGAGAAAACCCTTTTTCTTCACTGCTGCAAACTCAGCATACACGTTTTGACAGCTAAAATGAGCATGGAGGATTTTGAAGAGCCATGTTATTTTGTTGTGAACATCACTCTTCTTGTGAAACCCTTCTAAAAAATTGTTCTTACCACATAGTGGTGATCAAGAGTTCACAAGCGCTTTAGAGTATACAAAGATCTGCTTTGTTCCTTAGACTATAGTTTGCATTGGCACTAAACTGACGTTTATTAATGCTTTCAGAAATCCCACTCAGTTTGCATGAGCTGAATTTCATGCTTCTATGGGGGAAGACGGTAGTGGTATTGCATTACTTCTGGGGATTACAGTCTGTCTTGTATTCACACTTGAGCCCCTAAACTTCCATCTTTTCTCTGTTGAGGAGGCTCTGGTTGGGGAGAAGAGCCCAGAGGCTTTTAATTCTTTCGCTGAACTTGCTTGATTTGAGACAAAACTGGACAAGTTATAAAAAGATGACCTGACACTGGTACAGAAAGATGGGTTTTATTTTGTAGAGAAAATTCATAGTGATAATCAATAAAAGAGAAGCAATAGGGCATCTAACAGTCAAATACCATGGGAGAAAGCCCCTCCACAATGAATGACTTTCCCTGGCCAAGAAAGACTGTGTTAAGAAATGGCCTGTAGAATTGGCCTTCTTGGGGCCCGCTGTGTTGTTATACTACAGTGTTTGGTTTGCATATTTGCTGGGCAATGTGCCTGAAAAGCATTAATGTTGTACTGTATATACTTTGTCTTACAGTTAGGTATCTTGGAGCTGGAACAAATAAAACACTATATATATAACATGGAAGCTTGCAAGACAAAAGCTTTTCCTACGTTTTATTTATGCAACAATACATTCTCAAAATATTGTAGTATCTTGAACTTTGCATATGTCAGGGAGCAAGAGACCCAGATTTTTTTACACAGCTATAATATAAATGAGTTTTCGTATACTGTGAAGCTCCCTTCTGTCGGTAGGTTGATGTAATTTGACCCTGGTACCTGTGGGAGTAGGAATCAATTCTGTCAAAAATGTCACTCATTTAGGATGCAACCGAATCCCCCTACCCCAAACCCAACCATAGACAACCCTTCCAGTTGACTTGGCTGGGTGTTGGAACAGCATTTTGCCGAGTGTTAGCTATGACTTTTGTCCTGTTATCATGACACAACATGAGATTGTTCTTGCCCTTGGAGTTTGTGCTTTCACCATGGGGAAATGGCATGTTTTCTGCTGGAGGAGGTTGGTGTGAACTCCTGTCTTGCCTTTTGTGCTGTGCTGTATAGGTGATACCTTATTGTGCAGTAGCTTTCCCAGGTAGCAAAGCAGGTTTGGCTGGCTTGCTGGGCTCTTTTTTGGCTTTTTTCTTCCCTTCCATAGATGTTGATCTCTTCCTGGAAAAATGCTGATTTTTATTAAAATCGGAGCAGAAAATACAGAGTTACCACGTTTAACACTTAAATTCTGTAATTGGATGCTGGATGCATTATACATGTGAAGAAAACACGGGAGACCTTGCCTCTGTGGCATCAGTCTTAGATTAATATGTTTAATGTGTAGGGCTGGGGAACAGAACAACTATGTACCTTTGAAGCCCTAGCCCACAGAATTTTTGTCATATTACTGGGGAAACTCACAGCGATTCTTCCTTTTTTGGGCTTTGTATGACAGATTGGGAGACTTTCTTTTCCCTTGCCACCTCTTCATGAAGATGAACAGGGCTTGAAACTGATGCTGGTTTTGTCCTAATTTTTGTTGCATGCTGTTGACACATACAAATATAGGGAAAGGGAGAATGAGGTGAGCATGAAATGAGATGTATTTAAACAGGGTGCCTGCTATTGACACGGAAATATGGGGAAAGGGAAAATGAGCCAGAAATCTGAGATGTCAAAAACGGCACATTGCACATGCTGTGTTTCTGTTCAGAAACACTTCTTTTTCCTGGTGAGGGTGTTGCTGTGGACGGAGGTTATGAAAGGTCTGTTATTTCATGTCCTACCAGCGCTCTCTTCCTGCCCCGTATCCCACACTGTACTTTCATGGAGCATACCTGGTCTCCGATGTGCCACTCAATAGCTATAGCTAAGTACTTATCCATGTAGAAAAGTTTAATTACTTACACTATGCAGTTTTAAGTAGTTAAAATTTTGGCTGTTTTCTTTCTCCACCCTGGCAGGACATTCTCATTCTGGTATGACTTCTTGCTTTAATTTTACACACCCAGGTAACAGAAGCCAAGCAGCTTTTTTAGCCTTTTTCTCATCTACTTGAACAAAACCAACAAATTAACGTATTGCCACCTGCAGCTAATTACTGCTGCTGCCAAATCTGCTACCCATCTCCCAATAACGAGTGGAAGGAAACATGGTGATTTAAGCTTAGATGGTGGCAGACAAGAAGTTGGTCAGCAGTGCATCCCTGTGACAAGGAAAGCCAAGCACATCCTGGTCTATATTAGCAGGAGTGTAGCGAGCAGATGGAGGGAAGGGATTCATCCCCTCAGCTCATCACTTGTGAGACCACTTCTGGAGTGCTGTGTCCAGCTTTGGGCCTCACAGCACGAGAGAGACATTGGCATACTGGAGCAAGTCCAGCAAAGACCACAGAGGGTGTCTGGGGCTTCATGTCTCTATGGGGTGTTTCGTTGGTATGGCTGTAACGCTCTGAAGTTACGCTTTAGTTTGTACTAATACTTCTGTGCGGATAAGTTGCTATCATCTAGTACTGCTATTTTGGTATATGGGAAAGTGCAATTTTGTGTTCTGAAACAGCTGATACTACTAAAAATTATCTCCTGGCCCTTTTGAGCCTCATTTGTGGAAGAGGAGCTTTGTTCACTTCAATGTCAAAGACTGTATATTAAGGGAACAGCTGCTTTTGAGGAGAGCTGTTACACTTATAATATAGAAGACAGTGGCAGCATTTAATATCAGGTTTTAAAACTGGTGGTTCACTTATTGTTTGTTCACCCAATTTTAAAATCTATATATAGGTAATAAAACCAAACTTAAAATGTAAAAGCTTGCTAGTATGTATGCAAAGCTGAAAGTAAAAGCTAATAACACTGTTTACTTTTTGCTCTTGTTTTATTTTTAGGATTTCTTCTTTTATTCACTAGTATACGATCCTCAACAAAAGACCCTACTCGCTGATAAAGGAGAGATTCGAGTCGGAAACAGATACCAGGCAGATATAACAGACTTACTAAAAGAGGGTAATTTCCATAATTTATTTAAATTGTCAAGAGGCCATGTCGAATGTGGCCACTTTTATGTGTGCAGCCTGCATAGGTGTGAGAGGTAGAGGTTTCCACTGCCAGGTCATGTGTACAATGATGGCCTGGTTTGTTGGTGACTGAAGCTGTTGCCCACTGAATGCAATTAGTTATGTCTCAAACCAGTCTTTAAGTGGGCGTTTGTCCAAATCATAAAAGTTGTTGAAACAAATTGAATTAATTGGCTCCCTCCGAGCTTGCACTCTTTTTATTAAGAGATTTCAGAATTTCCATGGGAAACACAAATTTCCATCGCGTCTGTAAAGCCCTTTGTGTTTTTAATCAAGCCTCACCTCCCTATAAGAACCCCTCCAAAATTACTGCCAATTAAATGCTGTCTCCCCTCATCAATTTGCCCATTATTGCTGAGTGCCTTTTCCTCAGAGCCCCTCTCCCCATCCCAAGTGTTGGCTGCCAGCCTAGACTTCTCACCTGCAGAACAGGCAGGAGGAAGAATTTGCTGGCCTGAATGTGTTGTGAGACCTCAGCCTGCCCCCACTGTGTCATGGAGCGGTAGGACCATGAGGACCCTGGCCCAAGGAAAAGGGCGTAGTAGCCAGCTAGTAACCAATACTAGTTACCAAATAGTAACTAACTTTAGATTTGTCTTTGCACTACCCCACAGATCCAACAATGGGTGGAAAAACTAAGAGGGATGGGGAATACCGGCATCTAATTGCTCCTTTCTGAGACCCATGCAATGCATGGGAGAAGGTCTGTTGGTATGCTCCTGAGAGAGCTGGGGTTGTGACCCACGTTGGAAGGACCTTCTCCAGACTGTATGGGCAGAGATGTGAAAGCAGTGAGATGCTTCTGTCCTTGCTTAGGAGCTTTGCTGGTACTGCTAGCCTCATGTTAGAACAGGCAAACAAATTGGTCAGGACTCTTGTTTAATTTGTCTATGAAACTGGTATTTATTCAGCAGCTGGGCAAGCCTCCTAAGTGAGGATGAACTAATTTGAAAGGCATTCTTTTCCCTCAGTGGGCCAACACGGGGATTCAGAGAAGGATAATCTCCAGATGTTTTAAAGGGAGCAGGAAAAAGAAGAAAAGAAAAAAAAGTCTCAGTAGCTCCTGTATTTTTCCAGGGTATTTTGGTTTGTGTAGAGTCAGGAAAATAAAAGCAAGAGAGTCTGATGCCATGATTACCCTCTTAGAAAGCAGCTGATGCAGGTTGAACCAGCTACTCTTTGCCTGCTCAGAGCAGCTGGGACTGTGTCTGTTTCCCTGGAACTGCTGCAAGGTAAAGGAGAAAGAGAGAGGAGCTGGGGAGAGGGGCTGAAGAGAGACTGTCTAGCTGGGAGAAGGATGTATAGTCTGTTTCCCATTACATGTATTCTTTGAAACCAGTTCTTGAAAATCTGATTGCTCGATTTAGACAAGCTGTGTTGCTGTGTTGTCGAGCTGAAATTGTCACAGACAAATAGGTGAATGAAATTTTCATGGTGGCTTCTTAGGCAGAGTAACTGAGATGGGTTAGCAGTTAAATTATTGTGAGATAAAAAAATCTAGAAAGTACTTTTATTTTAAAACAGCCATATCAAGCATTTCTAATTTGTTTTTCAACCAGGTGAGGATGATGGAAGAGATCAGTCAAAACTTGAAACAAAAGTTTGGGAAGCCTTTAACCCGCTAGTAGACAAGCAGATAGACCAGTTCCTGGTGGTAGCACGGTAAGAGCATTTTACCTCTCCTTTGAATAAGTAAATGTTAATAACTCTTCCAAGCACTTTTCATGTTCTTTTTGCTTTACTAGTATGAATGCTGGTTTTGGTTGCTTGATTCACTTGCTCTGTTTTGAAATGATGGACATTTTACATGCGTTCCTGGGAGTTGCATGACTTTAGGAACAGCTACTCAGATTTACAACTTAGCTAATCACTTTTATGAAAGAAAAGCAAATGGCATGTGAGAACTATCCTGTAATTGGTGATTTTTTTCAAATACTTTGGCCAGCATGCAGGAGGCTTAGTGAACTACAATTCTTGACAGTTCATTACTCTGTCCACTTTCTGCCTTTTCAAATCCAGTAACATTTTAACATCTATTAATAGTTTGCTAAGAAGTCTGGTAAAGTTTTTTTGATGCAGTGTGGATGCTTTCTAATGCCTAGATTCCAATAGGTAGGCACAATAAAGTAAAGCCCTGCAAATCTGTACAGATGGTGAAATGTGTGCTTTTATTTAAGCCCAAAGCAATCTTTGGTCAACTTTTCCTTTTTAAAATGTTTTTTTGAACTTTTTCATTGGTATGCATTTATATGAACAGAAGCCTATACTAAATTTTAGGCTCTCATAGCAACTGGTGACTGAATAATTTGGGGTGGGGGTGGGGGGTGGGTGAGTAACTCTCCAAATTCTGTGTCTTTTTAGGTAAGTTTGTAGGACTGTGGGAGGAAAGTGGTGTGAGTAGATGGGTAGTTGCACCTTTTGATGTTTTTAGTCAGTAGAGCAAGTTATCATTGGATATGGTTAGGAAAGGGGTATGTAAAGTTACAAGCTGCTAGTAGCATCTGGTTTGCTAGTCTTGAGAGTTCTGCTCATTGGCTGTGGTATCTGATAGACATGGACCCTGACTCGCAGGGCTGCCTGCTTCAGCCAAGGGCTTTAGCCCTGGAAAACAGAATTAAGCCTATATTTCAGATACTCCTAAATTGGGCCCTGGTTCTGTCAAGCCCTTTTGGTTCTTGTTTTTTCCCCTCTTGAGTTATCATGCTTTGAATTTCCTCCTGAACTTTCCTGAGTGTGGCATTGCTGTGCCCATTGTGGCGTAAGTTCATGGGATGCTCACCAGAGAGGCAACGCTAGAGCTTGTGGAACAAGGACAGGGCCCTCCAGTTCTGATTGAAGCTGCTGGATGATGCAACAAGGGTGCATTTTTATCAAACAGCAATAAATGTGTTTAACGTGCTGAATGATACAAGCTCGGGGAAATACTGGGGGGGGAGGAGGGGGGGAAGAATTGAGGTAAATGAAGGAGATGGTGAAATGCAGTGTTTTAAGTACTCAAGATGAGAAGTGTATATACTCAGAAATACACATCCAAATAGATTTTTCTATGTACTTTGAAGATAAAAACTTGCTATTATGAACTTTGGCCAAAATTTTAAAAAATGGCTAATCTGAATTGCAGCACTTAAAAACCTTTGCATGGCTGCTTGGGCCTTGTGTTGCGAGTCCAGTAACAGGAAGCCAAGAGTGAAACTAGGCTGGTTAAGATAAAATGTTGACTGCAGTCCAGATCAAAGAAAATCTTACAGTTCAGAATCCATTAATACATTTTTGCCTTTGGTTAAACATGTTCTGTTTGTGGTATAGACTTTTTTAAAGTTCATAAAATTCCTAGTGTTCTGGCTATGCTAAAGGATCGCCATAAAATTTAGGCTCTCGGAAGTTTCACTGTGCTGCTTACATGATATATTGCTGTTTCCCTTGACCTGTGCCAACAGTAAAGTCAAACTGGCTGAACTAAGTGATTTATGTGCAACAGATAAATTCTACTTGATCAGATGGACATAAGGAAATGGATGAAAGTGGGGAGAGGATAGTCTCCACCAGTGATGTGGAACAAACAGATGAAGGAGTGATGGGGAGAGCTGGAATATCTCCAGCAAAGGGTATTCCTGCTTCTTATGGGACCCTTCTTGACAAGGCTGTGGTTTCACAGTTGCTTCCAATCAAGTGAAGTACAGGACACCACCAAAAAGCTAATGACTTTTTCTGGGTTAATTTTCAGCCGGATTGATTCCAATTTCCACTCAGCCAGACAGT